TTTTTTTTTTTTTTTTTTTTTTTTTTTTTTTTTTTTTTTTTTTTTTTTTTTTTTGCGATTTTCAATAGGTAGTTGGAAACGTTTTTAGGGTGATTTTCCGCTATTTATCCTTTGTCCAGCGCTTAAAGAAAAATTTGGTAATTGCAGTTTATGTAACTTTTTGGCAAATTATCATGTCTATAACTTTTTTTTTTTTACAATGATTACACTGTATGTAAATTTATCTAGTTTTTTCAAATTGTAACATTGTGTTAAATCTTGTTACAGTTCTTATTATAATTATGCAATTTTTCAGAAAACTCACTAATTACATTGATATGTTGACATTTAATTCTCTAACGACCATAACTATCTCCAAAAAAAAAAAAAAAAATTGAAATTGTGGCTTACACTTCGCATTTTATCTGGTTACAATGTATATGATTTAGCAAATATTTTAATAAGATAGTGATTATTTTGGCAAGTGTATGTTAAAACCAATAAAAGCACAAATACAAAATGCATATATAAAGACACCAGCAGGTAACAACAAAAAGTATATTGATCAAAATCAAACAACGGTTCAATACAAACATACGATCTCTTATCCGTAGCTATGGAATGTTTAAACTCTCTTCCAACTGAAGTTACTGAACCTATAATGTTGTCACCGAACTCCATGAACTAAAATTCGTCCTAAAATTAAGAGTTGTAAACACACGAGACCTCATTTCCTTGGGTATTGGTACCTAATCATGTGCTCATTTCGTTTCTTATTACTTGCAACAACACCCAAAATTATTTTATGTTTTGAAGCTGAATTTATCAAGTGTCTCTTACTCTTTTCTTTCTTCCAATTATTGAAGTTTGAATCATTGAATCGAGAAAGTAGTGCCTGAATCCATGCATGAGAAGTTCTCACCAATATCGACCATGCTGCCTCTTTCAAGAAGTCTTTGCACATAATGACGACGTTACAATATTTTTTAATGAAATCCTATGCAATTAAAAGAATAATAATTAGGTTCATTAAATTTGAACGTGCTTCAAAAATATTAGTGCCATGATGGTTAGCAGTGGGCCAGGGCAAGCGATGGTGGTGCTATTAAAGAGAGAGAGAGAGAATCAGTTTAAGAGCAATGCCACCCGGCCTTGCTACAACGATGGTCCTAATTTTCTCTCGGCACAAAGAATTTGTAGTTAAAGAGATTCAAAAGTTTCTTAATTTTAGAAATAACTTTTGTATTTTTAAAAGTCATGCCAAACGGATCTTTTAGTCCCTATTTGATGGCTATTACTTTGACAAAATAGAGTTTTAAATAGTGATTTTTTGAAGAACGTGTGGTTAAAAAGTAGGAAAATTTTTTGAATTTACGTGTAAAATATTTTATTATGTAAATACGTGGTGGTTAAAAATATGTATGAGAGTTAAAAAAAAAAAAAATTAAAGGGAGACAAACGAGGGCTTAATATACCGTATTATTTCTGTATCAGTCCTGAGTTTTGGGCTATGCATATCCAGCATAGCCCAACAGACATGACGTGAAACAAAAAGAGGAAATTACACAAATTAAGGTATTTAAAAATTGATTTTCAAACATAAGGTGTAAAGTTTATTTATTTAAAAATCAGGTAGTATATATTAAAACCCTAATTGTAACACACACTACTCCCTTCACTCCATCTCTAGCCTCCCGTCTTCATCCCCTCCCCTCCCTTCCCTTCCCTTTATGAATGGCACGATGGCAGCGTCGCGACGAGTCAGCGCAGCGGTGACAGCTCACTGCGTAGTAGCGACGCTGTCGTTCACCTTTCTCCCTTTCATCTCGTCTTCTTCCAAAACCTCCCGTCTCACTGTCATCTCTCTTTCCCCCATCACCGACCCACTTCCCTCTCTAAACACACGCAATCGTAGCTTCGCCAGCCAGAAGGAGCCCGAATCGTCGCGATTTGCGGCTGTGAAATGACTTGTGTTCGATGCGGCGCAAAGAAGAAACAATATTTGTGAAGCAGATCCACCTACTCCGGCGACTCTTCATAATCAAAGCACCGCGACCAGATCGGGTGGTGTTTTGTGTAGTGGTGATGGTGGTGTCTTATGTGGTGGCGATTTTGCGATGGTGGATATGGTTGTTGTGGTGGTGTGATGTCTCTCAGTTGGTTCGATCTGGTGGATATGGTTGTTGTAGTGGTGTGATGTCTCTCAGTTGGTTCGATCTGGTGGCTACGGCGGTGGTGTGATGTGGTGATGATGTCTATAGTGGTGTCGGCATCGACGGGGGTGGATGTGGTGGCAAGTTTGTGGTGGTTGTGGTGTGGTGATATCTGAGTTGTTGGCGACGACAGGGATAGTGGTAGAACTGGTGGTAGCGACACAGACGGATGTGGTGGCAGGTTTGAGATTTTTTTTTTTTTTTTTTTGGATTTGGTGGTGACGATTTTGTTGGTGGTGGTGCTATTATGGTGGCTGCGGCGGTTATGGTGGTTTGGCGGTGGCGACGATGGTTCAGCGCATCGGTGATGGTGGTGTTGTCGGAGGTCGCAAGTGTTGGCGGTGGTCATCGATTATTTGGTCGACTGTGACCATTAAATTAGTTAATTTATGACCAATAACTAATATATGACTAATGAAAAAGATAATTTGTGATCATGAAATTACGTGTGACCTAAAAAATTTGATAATTTGTTTGTGACTTATAATATTTGTGACTTGTGACCTATTAATTTTTTGATTTGTGACCTATGAAAATTTTAATCTGTGACCGTAAAAAAATCCGCGACTTATAATTTTTTTGATTTGTGATCGGAAAATAATCTATGACCAATAAATGAGTTGTAACCTATAAATATGCATATGTGACCATGAATTATATAATTGTGATTTTAATATATTTAATTAATTAATAAATACCTGATTTTTTAAAAAATTTTAAACTTAAGGCCTGAAAATTGATTTAGTGATAGTTAATACCTGATTTATGATTTTTTTTCTCAAACAAAAATCCCAAGTTCTTTTATCTTGTTACCTCGTTCGATAGTGTTTTAATTGTGTTTTTATCTTTGAAAATGATAAGAGATGAGCACGTCTCTAATAATTAAGAATAATTCTATTAATCGTGAGGACCATTGTAGTTATCCTATGTCACATATATTTTATCATTTAATAATTCATAGTAAACATTATTGATTAAAAAAAAATTAAGTTATTAGATGTATGTCATATAAGATGACTACGATAGTCGCTCATTATGAATAATATCACTTAATAATTAAACGTTTACTCAGACCAATTTAGAAATCAACAATTTCAATATTTGATTCAAATTACTAGTTCAAAAACCATTTTTGTCAATTCATTTAATTATAAAGAGAAACGTCAATGCCTTTGTAATTATTTAAGTTTGAAATGTATTTTGTAAATTACTTTTCAAGGTGTATTTTTTCAATGATTATCTAGAAGATTAAAGATTTTGATAAAGAGATATGTTTATCTAGAAGAGTTATAGGAATGTAGCTCCCTTCAAAAAAGTAGAAGCTTCTTGCCACACGAAGCCTAAGTGCATACACTTTCACATATTGTAATCGTACGCAAAACAAACAATTTAAGCTCCTATTTGTCTACCATTTTTCAAAAAATTATTTTCTACAGTAATCAATATCTACCACATATTCAAATAATAAAATATTCTACACATGAATCGATAAAGTTTCTTTCAATTTCAGTCACACATTTTTCAAAAAATACTATTCATTACACCATTTTCTTCTCAATAATGGTTGACAAACAGACACTAAATGATATGAAAAGTACATGATTGTTCATCTATCCCCCTTTTAGTTTAGCAAACATGAGATTTTTCTTAAATTTTGATAAAAAAAAAAAAACAAAATTCTCAATGAAAAATTAATAAAAGTTGTGAATTCCAAAAAATATATGATTTAAAATGAATTTAAGAAAAAAATTGAGTTTTAAAAAAGGGTGTCACATGGAGACTTCACTTTTGCTTCAACACTTTCCAATTAAAATTAAAATTATTTAAAACAAAACAAGTTTTCAAAATAATGTATTTCAACAACATAATCAAAGATAAAAATAATAATATTTTCAAGAAATTTGTCGCCATTAGCACACAAAACCATTCTGTTTTATTCCCTCCGTCCCATAAATATAGTCTTATTTTTCTTTTTAAATCAATTCATTATTTAATTGTAGTTAGAACAATAAATTGGAAAAAAAAAAATTTAATCTTTTATGACATTTATTCATTTGTATTTGTATTTGATGACTTTAGAATATTGCATGCATAATTTAGTTACCTTGCATATTGATTACATTAATATAGGGATAGTAAAAAAAATTATTATTTCAATTATATTAACTATATTTTTTTAATTTGTGTGAAAAAAAAAAAAAAAAGACTCCCATTAATACAAGTCAAAAAATTATTATTAAAATAAAAATTAGAAGATAAGAAAAGTCGCCCACGCACGCTAGCCTCCAAACTCTTTAGCCAAGACCTTGCTGTTCTTCAACTTTTTTTAGCGTTTACTCTTCCTTTTCTTCACCTTCTTCATTTTGAGAATCTTAGGCTCATATCTTATCTCTACGGTTGATCTTCGGGGGAAAGAAGCGAAATGCCGAATCAAGAGTATATGGACAAGATGCAGCACCGACAGAGCTATCGTAACCTATGGCACACCGATCTGATGCGCACAATGCAAAACGATCCTCCCTGTAAACTCTTTTTTCTCTTAATTTTTGTGCAAAAAATGTTTTATGTATAAGAAAGTGAAATTAAGTTGTTTTTCGTGGACTTAGTTTGATTTTTGATGGTTTTGTGCTTTGCAGATTGTTGCTTGTCGTTTTGGTGGTAAGTAAATGTGATCGGCTTTTAAGCTTTGTTCTTTTGCTTGATTGGATCCGGATTTTTAAGTTCTTGGGTTGGATGGGGTTTATAGTTTGATGTATCTGATTTGAGAAGTGAGGTTGCTTATTTTTTGGGGTCGACTTTGGTACTGTGTGGACCTAGTGAGACTAGGATTGACTTTGAGGATTTAGTTCATTCATAAAATTAATAGTACATTGAATGTTTTGGTGAGTTTTGGTTAGAGGGACTATACCAACAAGGAGTAGCCAAAATTATCATGATCCAAGATAAATAGAAAATTATTGGTGTTTTCTTCTTTTCTGTTTAATTCTGATTTTATGTAGTCATAAAAGTAATATGCATGGCACTTGCATTTGTTGGGGTGGGATGAATGGTGAGCATTAAACAAATAGACATTTTATACACATTGTACTCCTGAAAATGAATCTGATCTTTTGAACCGTTTTTGCTTGACATGAAAAAGCATTTGGAATCAGAATGACTACTCAAAAAATTGAAGCTGTTGCTATTTTTATGATGTGTATATGGCAATTTATGTGCATCTGCACCTCCTTTTCATCTTACGAGGAAAAAAAGAAGAAGAAAGAAAAACAGAGAGAGAAGCTCCTCTTCCATGCTACGCTTTTTGGATGGAAAGTAAGAAAATAGGAAAGGGAAAAACCACAATGTGAAAATTTAGAGATGTCATGTTTCTGTTACCTGCTAATTTAGCATAGCACAAATCGTACACTCATCATTGGTTTAGTTCTGGCCAGATGTGGAACTTAAATTGCCTGGTAAACGATGGTGGAGATTTTTGGGCTTCAACAAGCTCATAATTTTTCAATTTATATGATAAAACAAAAAGCTTTAGGAAGTTCCTTTAGCCCATGAGTTCGCAGCTGTTTGGTCTCTTCGTGGTCAACAAAAATTGAGAATTGAGGGACACCAACTGTTTGATCAACTTTACCTCTTACGAATGAGTTGGCTAAATTCTTAGTATGCTACTTCAATATGAGATAGACATGCCACTTTATGGGTGTGTACAAAATGTGATGCTGGTAGCTGCAAGAATAAGTTTTCTTAGAACAAACTTAGATGGTTATATAAACAATTAGGATTAGACCTCGTCCAGTAAATCCAAGTGAGATTTGCTGCAAATGTTTTATGAAACTAGAGGGTTCAGCCTTCAAATTAGACGTTTATAAAACTATTGGACCATTCAAACGATACCAAACAAGGACTTTGAAACGTGATATAGATGTTATCTAAAATTTTGGGCTCATAATATATGGAACTTTGCATATATGTTAACTTCTTACCAATGAATATTTTGAGCAAACTTTTTTGAGCAAGATTTATTTATGAGTTCTGCAAACTTCAACTGTGATATCTCCTGCTCAATATAAGTGTAGCATGAGTATCAGAAAGTGTTGCATTCTTTTGCATTACTTCTTCCTTGGAATCCCTTAGCAAAGTTTGTGTAGCATATATCAGAAGGCATTGCATTCTATTTATTTAACATGTTTGGAGGAGACTCATTTTATTTGCCTTTTAGGTAAGTCATTGAAATACTTGCAGTAAATTTAAAGTTCCGAAAACCTTAGGTTTGCTACTTAGTAAGGTCTTCTAGGAGATGATGTTGATCTTTCAGTTAAAAATGTTTCATTCTTGTACTGATCTCAAAGGGTAAAAGAAAAAGGAAATTAAAATGACCGCATAGATGGAGACGACAAAACTGTCTTTTCCTGTGGGATTAATGCTGAGAAAGGAAAGGCGTTTTATCATGCCATTCACTCTGTGAATGCAACTTCAATTTTTATCTATATTTCCACTTATTTGTCTCTGGATAAGCTACTTATGATCTGTATCTAAGCGTGCAATGATTTCAAATTACAGTGGACCCTGTGTATCATATATGCTACGCAGACGAGCTCTTTACAATGACATGTCCAGGTAATTGAAGTTTCCTCTTCTCGTTAAGCTCTCAATTGGTCCTATCTCTAGGTTTTATAAACATTTCTGGTGCTCGCCACAGGTATACCTGTTGTGCTGGTTATATGCCCTGCAGTGGGCGGTGTGGAGAAAGTCGTTGCCCCGAATTTTGCCTTGCTACAGAGGTAATTAAGAGATTGATTTTGATGGTGACTGTTGTTTTCATTGTCATTGTTGTTCTACTACTGCCAAGTTATATTGATATTTAAACTAATGCTGCTTCGTTTCATGGCAAGCTTTTTATGAAATGCTAAATGCTGAATTCATTAAAGCATGGAATAAATTGTCAAAAAAATTTGTCTTGCATAGTTCATATTACTTTGGACTCTGTTTGCTGTAGAATATTTATATCATATGATTTAAGATATATGCAGTTACGAACATATTATCTTTCTACCTTGTGTAGATTTAAATTATCAAAGTGTATTGTTTTGTCAACTTCAGCAGGAAGCTTTCTGTAATTGGAATTAGATGTCTAAATTCTCATGTTGGAGATGATTCTCACTTCATAAATCATATGTAGGCTATAATTGTTTGTTCATTTCCGAATGTTGACTAGACTTTCTGCCATAGCAGGCAGCAGCATAATGTGATGCAGTTGCTGGTTGATTCAAAATTGTTTTTACATCGTTCTGAACTCCACACACTATTCTTTGAGTCAAAAAGCACATAATGTATAATGACTGAACTGAGGACCAACCTTTGATAAATTCTCCCTCGAAAATTTAGTTTTTTTTTCTCAGTCAGGTTCAAATTGCAAATGTCATTTTAGCCTTTCTGAAAAGATGCAGGATTATTTTTTCCTTGCAAACAAACATGAGAGTATAGAAGCCATGCTTACTGAAATGCCCGTTATTGCATTAGTAACTTGTATAAAAATATCAGCCACCTTAAGAAAACACTGTAGCTTTGATTTAAAAGTAAATAAATTAGAAAGGAATGAATCTGGTGTAAGTAGAAATGCTCACAATCTCCCAATAAAATAATTTTGCAAGTGGAACTATAACTTTATCCTAATTTTTAAGTACACATTCTCCCAAAAGATAACTTTTCACAAAATCACTTCTCAAAAAGTCAAAATCAAAAAAGGTTTGCAGTTCTTACAATGACTTTCTGAGTTTCTTCAGATGTTTCTGAAAATTGTATTTAGAGTAGACTTAACATATTTCTATTCTTTTGTTTTTCTATTCCTTTGCTTACTGATTTTGTCTTCCCACATGAAAATAAAAATTTCAGGTCTTCTTGTGCTTTGGGAATTCAGTTGCCTCAACCCGATTTTTGTTGCAAGATGAATTCAACATACAGACAACACAATGCGACAATTGTATCATTGTACTCTCTACCCCCATCTCTTTATCACTTCCCACGTCCACACTTAGAGACAACATTGTGTAAGTATTTTCTTGAAGTGCCTGTATCTAATTCGATTGATTTTGTTTGTTCCAAATATCAAGGGATTCATGTTCTGCCTACAACAAGTTGCTTGCATTTTTTCCATTGTCGCAATGATTGTTGGAAGTGATGAAATTTCAGAGGCTTCTCAGATACTGTCTTGCTTAGCTGACATTGTCTATTGCACGTAAGAAACTTTTATTTCCCTCTTCATTCAGCAAATCTCTGTTGATGTAGCTAAGAACCTCCTCCTCATATCATTGTACAATTTTGGTTTTGCAGGGTTTGTGCTTGTATGCAGGTAAGCAAGAATTTATCAATTTAAACTTTGAAAGCAAATGTATAAAGTTTAGATAAAATGCTGCCAATGTTATTGTTCGAGATTACATACTTATCTCTTTTTCGTTATCTATTTGCCGGTTATCCTTTTTGCACGGTTCCTGTTTTTGTCTGTGTACTTCAGACACAACACAAGATCGAAATGGACAAACGGGATGGTAAATTTGGACAACCAATGGCAGTACCTCCAGCCCAGCAAATGTCACGCCTTGATCAGCCATATCCTCCCACCGCTGGATATCCTCCGACCGCTGGATATCCTCCACCTGCATACGGGCAATCTTATTATCCACCAAATCCACAGGCTCAAGGTTATCCTCCTCAAGCTTCGGGGTACCCTCCTGCTGGCTACCCTCCTGCTGGTTACCCTCAGAAGTGATCTTTCTTGATTTGATGTGAAAATTGCTCTTAGTGTGCATCGTTAGATAGCCTTCGCTGGAATTTCTTCAATCTGAGATTGTAAGTACATGATGAAGTTGTGATATAATCGCTTGTTTGTGAAGTTCCTCTATTCAGTCTAAAATTGTTTAATGCATATGTGCAGCGTCTATGTTCTTAAAGTTTTCATGTGTATTTGTGCATTTTTATAACCTAAATTCCTGGTTCAACTTATTGTATTGAGTCAACATACATGTACTTTTTGAGAAGGCAAAAGCTTGGATGTCGCTTGCTTATACGTAATGAAGTTTTTCATTTCTTCGTATATTTCTCAACTTGTTCGACATGTACTCTTAATACATTTAAACATTAGAATTCGACTTAAGAGTACATTTATCTTCAATACATGCACTAAGCCTCTCCAACGATTCCAAGATTTCAAAAACAAAGAAAAATAGTCTTGCTTGGGATTGCATTATAACCCCAATTTTGTAAACAATTTTTAAATATTTTGTAAACTTGAAAAAAAATAAAGAAAAGAGAACCGTGCTCCTCAAACGGGGTGGGGGGACCAACCTGAAAATAGGGGCTGAGGTGATTTTTGGGTCGGTCATTGACCTGTTTGAGTGGCACTTTCCAAGAAAAGATCGTGGAAGTGGAAGTGGAAGTGGAAGTGGAAGTGGAAGAATTCATACCATCAACAGATTTTAAGAAGTACAAGATTGTAGCTTCTGAAATTTTGCTGTTAACTTCATCATCCATCATTAACATGTCAATTTCAACTATTCATAATAAAATTATCTCCTTTTTTTTATAAGTTTGTTGGTATTCTACGATTATTAACAATCCTCTCTTGTATTTATTTTTCATTTTAATTGAACATTGAAGTAAACGGTTTTTCAAATGAAATTTTACTTTCTTAAAAAAAAAAAAAAAAGATGAACCGCATCCTTAGCGACCCCCACCGCTCTGCCATGAGCCTTGGTGAAGGAGATAAATCGAAGGTTATGTCTCCAAGGGTACATGATGGAAGGCTACTTGTATACTTACACTTACTCAATGGCCAAATCGCAAGTTACTTTCTAACTATGCCCTCGTTTGGTGTGAATTTTAATAGATTTTGATAAAAATTGATTAAATGTAAGGTTAATTATTGACGTTAGCTTGAGATTTTTAGTAGATGTTAACCTACATATGAGCATACTTAGGCCACAATGTATGAATATTTAAAGGGAAAAATTCATAAGTAAGAGGAGTATCTCCTATTTAAAAATTAAGAAAACAAGTTTGGAATTTCAAAAATCAGATTTTTATTAAAATTTATTATGATTTAATTAATTAATTAATTAAATAAATATAATGATGTCATAATTATACAATTAATGGTCACGGGTACATAATTAATTGGTCACAGATTATTTTTGAGGTCACAAATCAAAAAATTTATNTTTTAGTCACAGATTGTCGAATTTTAAGGTCACAGAATAATTTTTAGTCACAAATTGTAGAATTTTAAGGTCACAGATAGTCCACCATCACCGGCATCTTACGACCGCAGCACTTAATCACCACTACCTACTACACATCATCACCGGCATCTCACCATTTCAGTTCCAGTACACTCGCCTGCACCAGCCCCTGCACCCCACCACAAGAGCCATCACCATCACCACCACCACCCCACGCCACCCTCAAGCCACCCACCAGTTAAACCTCCCACTTCACCACCAGTAAAGCCTCCTACCTACCCTCCAGTTAAGCCTCCAACACCACCAATCAAGCCTCCAACTCACACTTCACCGCCAGTTAAAGCCAAAAAACACCACCAGTCAAGCCTCCAACTCACACTTCACTGCCAGTCAAGCCAAAAAACACCAACAGTCAAGCCTCCAACTCCACTAGTGCAACTCGCGGGAATGTGTACCTCGCAGGAACATTAAAATCACCTCCCGACTGCACAAGACACTGCCCCACTACTCAACCAGCGAACCACACCAAATCGACCATCACAAATCACACACAACTCTACAGATCTTTGCGAAGAAATCAAATTAAGAAAAAAAAAATTGATTCGCTCCGCCTCCGCCGTGAACCAGCACCACCACCCCTTCTCCTGCTCGATCTGCAGCGCCGGAGAGTGGCGTAGTGTCTGCCGGAGCAGCTCCATTGCCGTGACAACTTTCTCGTCGTGGCTGCTGATGGGTAAGGAAGGAGAGAAAGAAGGACGGTAGAGAGAGATGAGAGGTAGAGAGAGAATGATATGGGCCGGTGGGGGTGGTTATGGTTTGGAGTATATATAATTAGTAAAAATATTTATTTTATACAAATATTAATTAAAATAAAAGATCTGATTTTTGAAAGAAAAAGGATCCTACCTGATTTTAGAATTGGGATCTCCAAAAGTAGGTTGGGATATAATTTCCACATATTTAAATATGAAACAATTAGGTTTGTACTCCCTGAAGTTGTACGCACGTGGTCATGGGTCTTCAACCTTCAAAATTGAAGTTCTGAATTTCCATCCCATTTAATTATATGAATCTATGAATCCGAGTCTCCCCGTGATTGAAAATGTCAATTTAAATATGGAGAAATTAGGTTTGTACTCTCCAAAGTTTTACGTGTGTGGTCATGGGTCTTCAACCTTCAAAATTGAAGTTATGAACCTCCATCCTATTTTACTTTATGAATTTGAGTCCCCACGTGATCGAAAATGTCAATGTTGACACTAAAATTGAATGCTACCTTCAATTGAATTAAAAAAAATTAAACGGTAGGACAGTATTACTAACCAATTTCAAGTCAAATGAAAGTTGCAAGTGATTTTTATCAGCCATGTTAAAGATTTCGATTATGTGGAAATAAGGATGACAAAAAATCCCAACAAACTTGATATTCGTGGGGACCCGCCCCGAACGAGGTAGGACTTACCGGCTTAAACAGGTATTCAGGTCGAGGACGGGAATGGTAACTTTGCCTCGGGGAGGGTACAGGTGATAGGTATTCCGCCCCGCCCCGTTAAATTTTTTTTTTTAGAATTCAATACTTTAAATGAAAAATTTCACGAAATTTCATTTGTTTTAATAGAAAATGACAACTAAGATTATTTAAAAAATAATAAAAACTCTACTTTACCAGATATATTTGAATAATTTAACTTTTAAAAATAAATAAAAAATATATCATTGTCTCACTTTAATGAATGGTGGCAATAAAATGAATTATCAAAAAAAAAAAAAATTAAAAATTAAATGAGGTAGTAACGGAGCAAGGATCCCACCTTAAATGGGTAACGGGGACGGGACGGGACGGGACGAGACAGGAAATTGTCTGGTGGGGTGGGGGCGTGAGGGAGGTTGTTTGCCCCAATCCTCTCCGTTGTCATCCCTACGTGGAAACCAAAATTCACATATATTCATGGCTACATTATCTAAAGAATTGGGGGTGTAACCTTAATATATCCGAAAAAATGAAATTTAATACAATAGACATGTCTACAAATTGTACTTCAAGTCAATGGTTACTCCAATTTGATGCTAATAGTATTCACGCCCCTTTTCTTTCACAAGAATATGGATAAATCATTCTAGGGTTCAACAACCCAAGCCCCCAATACAACTTCCTTATTTAGGAGGTTGCATCCTTGAAATGTACTTCTAAATTAAAATTAATTTTGGATAGCTAAAACATATATACACTCCAATTTGTTAACACTTATTTTTAGTATCGAAAAGTCACCGTCAAAGCATTAAGTTTTTAGTCTGTGTTCGATACAGATTCTTCTAAACTTTTTTTTCCCAAACTCATACAAATTCTCCCAATGAGATAATTTTGAACGCGAAGTTATAACTTTTTTCTACTGTTTAACTATATATTCTCCAAAAAATATTACTTCTATAAATTTATTCTAAATAATCTACAGCAAATAGGCTCTATTCAGTGGCCTAACATCCCAAAAAAAATGTATTTTATAACGTACAAGAATTCAATGATTATGAAAGTTTGGATCCTCACTTGCACAATAATTACCATTAATGCAATATGAACAAAATATTAAGAAAAGATTCCATTCGAAAGAAACACAAAATGATAAAAATTACATATGAATTATTAATTAGGATAATCCCGATTAATTCATGGTTGGTGTTGACGACGACGGAGATGTAATCTTCTTGTCGTGTGCCACATAGCACCATATCGCATGAGGAATCTTCATAGCTTGTCAAACATTTAATATAAAATCTCGAAAAAGATTATTTTTACGTATTTTTGTATTTAAATGAAATTCGTCTATTGGTTGGGACTCGGAAAAAACTAATAGAAAAATCGCAATTCCGTTTTATTTAATTATTCTCCTTAAATGAGTTGGATAGAACCTCGAAACTACTCGAAGTTAGGCAATCAGTGAGCTTATTACTTGTAGGGGTGAGCATGAGTTGTGTTGGGTTTGGTAGGTTTTTGTCTCAACTCAAACTCAACCCAACATGATCGGTTTGATCAAAATTTAGTCCAACTCAACCCGTGTAAAGGTTGAAACCCATCCCAATCAAGTGTTGGTCGGATTGGGTTGGATTTGTCAGTTTGGGACGACTTGTCACAAAAATTAAAGTCATCCAATTTTTTATTATATCAAATTCGAATAGACAAGATAAAATAATAAGTAAATAAATAAATAAAATTATCTATTATCGTATTCAATCTTCATTAACCGAACTTACAAAGAACAAAGTGTATTTAACATAACATGAAAAATTTATACTACATTTCTTGTGGGAAGAACAGTAAACTCCTCATCTAAAATACATCAAGGTAATTACAGTTACATTATCTACTCATACTTTTTAAGTTTTTTTTTTTTTACTTTTCTACGCATTTTATTTCTTTTATTTTTATTTTTTTTAAAGTAATGGGTTGGGTTGGTTAGGTTTATTCGATTTACTTGAGTTAACCCATAACTTGACTCAACCCGACCCGACCCGACCCGACCCAACTCAACTCGCCTACACAGCCAATCCACCCAACCCGTGTAAAGATAACAAAAAGATCGATCCAACTCGGACAGGTTGGGTCTGTTTGAGCGGGTTGGGTGGGTTCAGTCGGGTTTTGCTCACCCCTAATTACTTGTATTTAAGTCACTTAATTAAATTGTTAATATAATAACAAATATTGACATGCACAAATCCAAAGATCATGTGGTTTGAGATCCACAGTATCACATCATCACCGTAAGATCAAATGTAGATAGTTGTGATTTTTTGAAGAAATTTTGAGATGAAATATTGACCGTTGGATTGCGGCTGAGACAAGAGAGCATGTGATTGAGAGACAAGAGAGCATGTGATGTAATATTCAGTGTATGTAGTGTTTTTGAGGCTTTTGATTGGGAGACAAGAGAGCATGTAATGTTCAGTCGCATGCAATTCTTTGCTTCTAACATTTAAGCAATGTTTGATTTTGCTTAAAATCAGATCTTTCGGTAAAAATTAATAAACCGTGTGATTAAAAAGTTAACAAAAATTGTGGATTCTATAAAATGTATTGTAAAAATTAATTGATAATTTTGATTTAAATTTATATCAACTTTTTTTTTAGTAAACCATACAGGGCAAAAGGTTGGACCGAACCCCCTTTTTTTTTCCTTCTTTTTTCCTTTCGAGAACTAACCTTGATTTCATTGCAAATCTTTCAATTGATAGAAACGTTATATACAATCTACGATATACAACTAATCGAACCAGTAGTAACAAAGGAAGTTATGGCCATGAGCCACTTGATAAGCCTCGCAGCTCTCGAGACAGAGCTACAATATCAAATAAAACAGACACAAGTAAACTTCAAATAAAAAGTTGTCTTTAAATTCCTATCACGTTAATTTCGAAAAATATACTCTTTTCTCAAAAACTATAATTAATAAAAGATGCACTCTCTAACCAACCCTAGGATCGAAAATTCATCTCAAACATTATTTGTTTTGATCCGTACTCCAAAGTATACCTTACGCAATAGAATCACTCTCATGTTCTGCTTCATTATTGAGATGATTCGGTCCTACAAACCAAATCAAATAAGTACGGAATTACACACGAACTATGTGAAGAAAACGACTTAAAGAATTACACATAATCTTAAACAAAATTATTCGGTCCTACACACCAAATCAAGAATCAAAATACACATGGACTAAGTTTACATACTTTATCTACCACAAGTAGGTTTGGTTAAGATTAGAAGACAAGATCCAATTCAACCGGTAATGCTCCAACACCACCAAACTATCTCCACATTTGGTAACATTTCATATCAATTTGCAATAAATTGTCAATGAAAAAATTGCAAAGAAAGTCCCATTACTCAATTTTATTATCTATTTATTTATTTATTTATTATTGACGTAATTCATATTACATAAAAAGGCTCAAGAATCTTTGGGTGAGGAAGACGTCCACGTGTGATATCGTCTCTCTAAAGATAAAATTTTCATAATTTCATTATCAACGGCTATCAAGTATCTACTATTTTATAATAGTGTCTTCACCAGATAAAAGGGTGACACTCGATGTATCTTTCAAATTGATAGAGGTAATTTTAATAATTTGATACTCGACTTAAAGCTCTTGTGTCCCACCTACCCATGCACGGGAAGTCACACGATGAATCGATGGCCTAGAGTGAAATAAGTCGCAAAATTAATGAATTTGAACAATAATTTTCAATTAAGAAGAAAACCCATATGTAATTTTTTTAGAAAGAGCCTCCAAATACAAAATTCATTAAAAACATGATAATATATATTTTTCCTCTTCGTTTTCTTTCTCATTCTCATGTTCATGTTTTCCTTTTTTTTATTCATTGTAATATTTACATTTCCCATATCAACCCCAAAAAGGAGCAAAAAATAAAAATAAAAAAGAGCATTACAAACCCGTCGTAATCGGTGAATACTCGACGTGGAAATCCGAAATTCCTTCGGCGGCCCACAGCCTCTCATTGAACGCCTCCTGCATGTCCTCCGGTATAAACTGCGTCCGGCAGAGTGGACACGTCTTCCGATCGTGGTCCATCCAACGGTCCAGGCAGCTCCGGTGGAATATATGTCGGCAATTCGTCAGCCGTCGGATCTCATCATCGCCGTTAAACTCGTACAAGCAAACCGCACAGTTTTCAGGTGGATTCAATTCGAGCAAGTCGGATAACTTCACCACTGGCAGAAGCTCTCGGATCAGCACAGCTGAAACGGACCGGGGCTCCGGCTCAGAATCCGTTGGGGTCGTGTACGTCATTTCGGGCTCCAGGAAATCGCCGAGGCGCAGTAGAGAAAACACTGCACAAATTGATTTTCCAATGAATCCCATGATTGTTAGAAGGTAAACCAACAGTTTTGGTAGATAAATGTCAGCGTATCCCACTGGAAATCCCATTTGAATATCCTATTGAGCTTGTATTTGTGTGGATATTGGTGTTTGGTAGTACTGCGTGTACTGTGTGTAAAATGGGAGAGAGAATCGTGAAGCTCTGACACAGAGGGGGAGAGATGCAGAGAGAGATGGGGTGGATTATATACAGAGATAAAATTATTAAATTACGAAAATAGGTATGAGAATAGATAAAATGACATTTTGTACTTCCATTTCTATATAAAACATTTATTTTACTTTATGGAATTAATAATTCTTTTTAAAGAAATTATGTTCGAGTAAGTGCAAATATATCATGATTACGGGAATCTATGCTTAAAGAGAATTTTAATATAATCCATGAAGTTGAGTGGACACTTAACCAATCAATTGAAATAACATGTAATAAATAAATTATTTATAAATTCTCTATTACTATTTATTTTCAATTTGAATTCTAAATTAAGAATTTATCATTACAAGTAAGGTAGACCATCCAAGAATTTTACATGTCATTTAGGAGGTATCTGAATAACAAATTAGAGTAACGCTACTTTTACATAATTGTTACAGATTGGTAAAGAGAAAAGGAAATCAAATAAAGTCAGTTAATTTTATCAACGTCATCAATTTGTAAATTCATATGTACACAATTATGTACAAGTAATATTATATGGAACATCTAAGTTATTTATTTTCCAGTTAAAATTCATTTTCTTGATAAAAAATAGAAGCTACTAAAGATTTAGAATAATATTATGTAGCACTACTAGTCTTACAACCCCAACCTAAAAAAAAAAAGGGTTATGCTACATGTACATAATTTTTTTACATAATCTTTTACACACCACACACATTAAGAGGTGGGGACCACGAACCGCCATTTTTAAACACACGGGGCCCGCACACATTGTGAGGGGGTACACCATTCGGTACCTCCATTCGGTACATCCGACATTTTCCATTAGAAATTAAACAATCATGTTACATGTACAATGTAATTGACATCAAANAGAGAGAGTTGGTGAATGATTGTGAAGGATCAATGATTATGCATAGGGACCAAAAGAGAAAAGTCATTGAGAGTAGCAATGTCCTAATTGCGTCAAGTGGGTCTATTGAAGACCACAAACCTAAGGAAAATGTAGAAAATTAATTGGAAATGTCACCTAATCATCCTCTAGAAAATCCTCAAAACAAGCCAAGACATTGAACAAAAACCTGAAATTTATTAGAAGGGGAAAAAATGGTTTTGGAAACAAGGATAGTGGGTGATATTTGATGCAATTGCCCATCATAGAATTGTCACTTTTGTATCTTACATAAATGCAACAAACACGTTATTTGTCAACTTTAAAAAGATCATTGGATAATCGTGTGCATTCGAAATTAGTAATTAAAAGTACATAAAAACATGTTCAAACACATGCATAGGGACATGTTAGTATTCATGTACTAAATTTTAGCCTACACTTACGTGTCATTAGCACGTGTAAGGTAAATTCTTGATACAAACGCTGAAAGACCTCTAATTCTCAACTTATTGCTTAATAGAAAAAGAAACTTCGATTTTGATTTTATAAGTTACTTAAAAATTAAGTTTGCACAAACAAACATTCATTAGATACACGACACTTTTGTCTAGCATCGAGCAAAATTGAGTTGTAGCTTTGTATTATTCCTATAATGGAGTTAAAACAAAAACGAAATGCATGTCCAAAGAAAATGTGACTTGTGAGTCCAGGCCAACCAGACCAGCCAACAAAGATGGGAAGGATAATGAGTGAAAGTCTTGGCTGCTTGAGAGCCAGCTAAACTGGGTGGGTAGGGTGGTGGTGTGCTCAGCCCCTCACCCCACCCCACTGCACCCCTACACTACCTTCTAGCTAGCCAATCTAAAATGTGTTGTAATAGGCCAAAACACAATGGCCCATCACAATGGATGGATCAATGGAACGATTAGATTATGATTTCATAACAAATTTCATAATGTACAAACTCGTGTTGATAACTTTTGGTTGGCACAAAGTCAATAATTTGGGAGACATACAATGCACTTAAAGACCGATTTCACACAAAATAAACTGTGGCAATTGCATTGCTTAGTAACCTAATGATATACGAGAACCCGAGGCCTTGCCTTAGCTTGAAGAGCAGCTGAGCTCGGGCATCGAAAAGTCTTGATACCAAATGTCGGAGTGCTATCAAAACGATTATCGTCCTTATCAATAAAGTTGTCTATACTATATGCGACTCGTAAATTCTCACAATCTTGCCAAACAATCATTAAGTTACTACCCAATAAATGAAGAGAGATTCTCTCACTACAACGTAACATCAGCGAACGACTCAGCTAACTTTAATCTATCCCTTTCTTCTAGGCAAGTGATTGTCATTATACTTCATTACTATCAACACATTTTCCTCCTTGGACGAGCATCGAAAGTACAACATAGGATCATCACACGCCTTTTTAGGCACAACATAGGAAGAATACATCAAAATACTACACGATAAGATTTTAACTCTGTTTTTCTTATCTAATATGTGTGTACACGTATTTTAAAGAATAAAAGTATTTATTAAAACCAAAGTATAGTGGGGCCACCCTCTTCGCCACATGACTTATGACTTACATATTACATGACTTGTGTGCAGGGTTGCATGGGGCGGAGGCCCCCCTCCCCGACCATTTGGATGGGAGCTCCCTCTTGCCGGTCACCACTCTCCACTCATCTTTGCCCCCTTCTTGTTTCGTCTTTCGTCTTTGTTGGGTAGTTGTACATGCAACACATGTGGGCTGCATCAATTTAAATCAACATGTTCCGCTATGAGCACGTTTTGCTATAGGTCTAAAAGTACGTCAAACTTACTTTTAAATACTATTTTCTAAAATAGCTAGGTAAATTACTCATTTTTAACTTCGATGCCCTTGGATGCTGAAATTTATGTATATCTTGTTCAATAACATTAGATATATGTCATTGAAACAAAGTGATTCCGTGCACATGTTCTCTTTTCTGATTCTGACGATGAGTTGGTCAATACTAACATCTTTAACTCAGGAGATGGATGACGAAGCCTCCTCATTGGATAAAATGTCTCCAACTCTACTTGCTCCGATGAGATACTATTTTGAATATTAAATTATGACTACCGTTTAATGGGCCACACTTGATTTTTAACGTATTAACTATATCATATTTAATTTTATCCATCGAATATACCGATAGAAAAAAGTGTGGAGGGTGGTGAAATTAATAATTCGACACCAATTAATGAAACATCCCACTTGCCATAATAATGTTTTTCTTTTGTTCGTTGCAGTGTATAGTAATGTATCTCCTGATATTGCGCAAAAGAAAAAAAAAAAAGATTTGTAGGCAATTAGTTCCAAAGATTTTGCGATTCTTCATAAATAAGCTATCAGATTCGGTCTCTCTAATGAAGAGTGGAAGGTTGATTAAAATAATGAGAAATTAATTTAAAAACAACTTACAAATTAAAGAAATAATAGTAAGAACGTTTGATAATTGGAAAGGCCAGGAGGCTCTAAGCTTACGTGGAGTTCTTTTTATGTCACAATATGAAGGATACATACATTCCTAGATTTTTTGAGAATTGTAAAAGTGATTTTTAAGAATTTGTATTTAAAAAGTATGGAAAAATTACGGGTCCACGTGCAAAAAAATATTTTATTAAGAGAATACGTGATTGAAAATGAGTTTTAAAGAATTTATATCAAATAGGAACATAATTAACCTCCCGTTAATGAAAGTACAATATGGAAATATTTATTCGTTCATGAATCTAGTAGCTAAATTATGAAATAAGAATAATATTAAGCTCTTGTTTGTCTACCATTATTTTAAAAAATTGTTTGTTACAGTAAGATTTTCTACCACACATTCACCCAACAAAATATTTTACACACAAATCAATAAAATTACTTTAAATTTCAACCATATATTTTTCAAAAAATATTATTCATTACTATATTTTTCTCTCAATAATGGGAGACAAACACACCCTAAATCTTGTATTCCCTCTTTCAGACTTCGAGTCACCATGTGTTTAGGTATAAATTTTAACCGTTCTTTATATCCATCTTCATTGTCTTCCTCAAGAATCTTCACATCCCTTGTCTGAATTTTCATTTATAACAATTGTAAATATACACGAATCATACATTTTTGAAATACGATATATGAAAGATAGTATTGAAGTTAGTATTCTATAAAGATAGTATTTGAGAATCGAGACATATCTTAGTATTCGATAAATAGAGATGGGGTTGTAGGTTAAAATATCATTATTGAGATAATGTAAAACATTATCTTGATTAATGTAGATTTGTGATCTTCTTTTTGACTCTTGATTTACTCCAGCTATGAATATTTAGATACACATTATTTGATTAATGTTCTTTTCTACATATAGATTGTGATGCATAGAAGATTTTTCAACTAAAATCGTTCGTTGGTCATCAATCACTCAAAGTACGTTAGCATTCAACCTTTAAACATAATAAAGTATATCTCCAACTTTTAATTATAGTTGCACAATTACTCTTCCAAACGTTTATTAAATTGTTACGTGAATCCTATGGAAATACATCCAATTTCAAATTTTTGGACGTTTGTCGAAATTGAAAAACAAAATCTTTTCTTTATAAAGTTGGACGATTCTTGCCGTCAGGGGCGAAGCCCCATATGGTCCAGTGTGCCTGCACTGAACTTTGGGCTGTCATTCATCTTTTTTTTTTTTATTATTAATTTTTTTATTTTGAGAGTTTCATATTTCGAATGCAATGGTGGGATGGACCAAAATTTGTTGAATTAGTATGCTAAAGTTTGCGTGCACTTGCCTATTTGTTGAATTAGTATACTAAAGATAAGTGTAATAGGTACTTGCAATATGACTAATCGAAGTTTTATCTTCCCAGCTTCGATGGAATGCATCTATGAATTGACAGAGTTTCTATATAACAACGAGGTATTCAAGTTTTTTTTGTAAGACAAAAG